GGAATGTAAAATGGTACAACCACTTTGGAAATCAATTTGGCGCTCCCTTAAAAAGCTAGAAATAGAAGTACCATACGATCCAGCAATCCTGCTCCTTGGAATATATCCTAGATAAATAAGAGCCATCACACAAATAGATATATGCACACCCGCATTCATTGCAGCACTGTTCACAATAGCAAAAAGATAGAAACAACCTAGGTGCCCATCAACAGATGAGTGGATAAACAAATTATGGTATATTCACACAATGGAATACTATGCAATGATGAAGAACAATGAGGAATCCACAAAACATCTCATAACATGAATGAATCTGGAAGGCATTATGTTGAGTGAAATTAGTCAATCGCAAAAGGACACATATTGTATGAGACCACTATTATAATAACTCAAGAAAAGGTTTAAACACAGAAGAAAACATTCTTTGATGGTTACGAGAGTAGGGAAGGAGGGAGAGGGGAATTCACTAACTAGATAGTAGACAAGAATTATCTGAGGTGAAGGGAAGGACAACACACAATACAGGGGAAGTCACCACCACTGGACTAAACCGAAAGCTAAGAAGTTTCCTGAATACAACCAAACACTTCGAGGGACAGTGTAACAGGGGCAAGAGTTTGGGGACCATGGTTTCAGGGGACATCTTGGTCAATTGGTATAACAAAGTTTATTAAGAAAATATTCTGCATCCCACTTTGTTGAGTGGCATCTGGGGTCTTAAAAGCTAACGAGTGGCCATCTAAGATACATCAATTGGTCCCAGCCTACCTGGAACAAAGAAGAATGAAGAATACTAAAGACACAAGGAAAATATTGGCCCAAGAGACAAAAGGGGCCACATAAACCAGAGACTCCATCAACCTGAGACCAGAAGAACTAGATGGTGCCGGTCTACCACCAATGACCACCCCGACAGGGAAGACAACAGAGAGTCCCTGATGGAGCAGGAGAGAAGTAGGGTGCAGAACTCAAATTCTAGTAAAAAGACCAGACTTAATGGTCTGATGGAGACTAGAGGAATCCCAGAAGACATGGACCCTGGAATATCTGTTAACCCAGAACTAAAACCATTCCCGAAGCCAACTCTTCAGACAATGAATAGACTGGACTATAAGACATAAAATGATACTCATAAAGAGTGTGCTTGTTAGTTCAAGTAGATACATGAGACTAAATTGGCAACTCCTGTCTGGAGATGAGATGAGAAGGCAGAAAGGGATAGCAGCTGGTTGAATGGACACGGGAAATCCCGGGTGGAAAGGAGGAATGTGTGGTCACGTTGTAGGGATAGCAACTAGGGTCACATAATAATATGTGTATAAATGTTTGTATGAGAAACTAACTTGAGCTGTAAACTATCACCTAAAGCACAATTTAAAAAAAGAAAAGAATACTTGCATTATCACAGAAAGCTCTATCGGGCAGTTCTACCTCAACGTGCTATCTAGGATGTGATATTAAGGATATAAAAGATGGCACATTCTAGGAGTAACAAATGCTGTCATAGTTACGGATTCTTGGAGAGAAATAGAACCCACTCAAGTTAGCTGAACTAAAGAGATTTATTTGACTAATTTAGGAAAACTCATGGATCCCACGGACAGGAAACACAGCTAGGCTTCGTGAAGAACTGGAACCAGTTCCTAGAACCACTCTCCCCTTTTCACCCTCTGTCTTTTTCTGTTGTTTTGATCTCCCTGTGGCCACTTGGGCTCTTACGTTTGTTTCTCTGTATGTTTGTGGCCTCCTCCTCCTTCTCTTCTTTCTCCTCCTCCTCGTTGTTCCTTTTCTTCTCCCACTCCCCACCAGATTTCTCAACTCCACTACACATGATCCAAACAGGGCTTAACTAGGCCTGGTTTCCATTACTTCTCAGGGTCAATGCCCAAAAAAGGCTGGATCCTGATTTTAAATTCCCAGGAGAGATCTTCTTCTTAGCCAGCTGGTGTGATAGCCATCCCTGCTCCAATCAGCTGTATCCAGGAAGATGGGGGTAGTGACCCTACACTTACTCAAGAGAGGCAGTGGTAATGGTGGTGGGAGCAGGGGGAGAAGATGATCTAAGAAGGAGTGTAGATGAGACAGGGATGGGTCATTGACTGACATGGGTGTCTTTAACATCACGGAGAGGTCCATTGAGTCTACGATCATGCAGGGAAGAGCAAGTAGAGATTTGACAAAGACCATGAAGAAAAAGAGTTGGATACCTTTTCTTCCTTGGTTACTTTAATGGTTTGCATCACTAGTACAGTGTAGCTTAATCTCCATGTCCATATACCTGTTAGAAATAGGCAGCCAGAAACACAGGTGGAACTCAGGTCTAAACCTTTGCCATTTTTTAAATGCAAACTGTGCACTCACAAGTTCCCTTTTCTCTTCTGCCTTTAGGAAGGAACATGAGTTTCCCCTGGAAATCATTCAAGAGAAAGATGGAAGTGAACGTTTAGAAGAAATTAAAAGCTGCAGGCCGCAAGACTGGGGCCTGAGGGCTGGCAGTGGAAAAGCCTGCTGGGCTGTGATCTCTCACTGCAAAGCTCCAAGTGCCTTTTTGCTTCCTGCAGAAGAAAGGAAGAGAAGGAGAAGACCATGTCCATAGCCCTGAAGCAGGTGTTCAACAAGGACAAGACCTTTCGGCCCAAGAGGAAATTTGAACCTGGCACACAAAGGTTTGAGCTCCACAAACGGGCCCAGGCATCCCTCAACTCGGGTGTGGACCTGAAGGCGGCAGTGCAGCTGCCTAGCGGGGAAGACCAGAATGACTGGGTGGCTGTACATGTGGTGGACTTCTTTAATCGGATCAACCTCATCTACGGCACCATCTGTGAGTTCTGTACCGAGCGGACCTGCCCTGTGATGTCAGGGGGGCCCAAATATGAGTATCGGTGGCAAGACGACCTCAAGTACAAGAAGCCGACTGCACTGCCTGCTCCTCAGTACATGAACCTTCTTATGGATTGGATCGAGGTCCAGATCAACAATGAGGACATATTTCCTACATGCGTAGGTAAGTCCATGACCAGCTTCGTTAGTTGTTTTGTTGCACCTCATCGGGGCTTGGAAAGTTTGCAGAGGCTTCTTCGAGGATCGCCTTTGAATGCTGGATAGCACCCAGACCAATGTTTTCCTAAATTCTGTCACCTGCGTACCTTCAGTGTATTTTTCCATAGCTAAGTACCTCACTGAAATGCAAAAAAGATCACCTGTGACCCGCTTAACATTTTGGACCCCAGTGGTATACACCCCACTCTGGGGAACACTGACTTGGTGAAATATTAGGTTTGATCTGGTTGGATTCCTTAGGTCTAGACTCCTATACTTCCCAGTTATCCTGGTAACATTTTTATTCTTTGGCTAATTGACTTGTTATTTGTTAGGTGCCATCGAGTCGATTCTGACTTATAATGTCCCCATGTGACAGAGTAGAACTGCCCCATAGGGTTTTCTAGGCTGTAATCTTTATGGGAGCAGATTGCCAAGTATATCTCCTGTGGAGCCAATGGGTAGATTTGAACCAAGGCTCCTTGTTGACTAGGTAAAGTTGACTCTGGTGTGGTTATTGGTACTCATCTCTTTGGATTCAGAGCTCCCTGTGTAAGAATCCATGGATTTGTTTGGGGGCCAAATGAGCAGGAGGTTGGCATTCTGGGAGAATAAAGATCTTAGCATTCTGTTCTTCCCTCTCCTGATCATTGGTTATTAACTACTGACTGTACCGTTAACTCTGGACCCTCACATAGCTACTGGATCCACTGAGACTCTTGAAATGCAAAGAATTTTGTTTGCTTTGTGCTATAAACTGTAAAACTCTTCAAGGGGAAGGACCAAACCTTTTGTACCTCTTATATTTCTTTGTGCAGCTGATCACTGGCTTTCCTACACACCAACTAGCTGGATTTAGAATTCATTTTTTGGTGCCTTAGCCTCAACAGAGGGAGTCACTGGGTGGTGCTTCTGTTAACATGCTCTACTGCTAACCAAAAGGTTGGGGGGTCAAGTCCATCCAGAGGCACCTCAGAAGAAAGGTCTGGGGATCTACTTTGAAACATCAGCCAGTGAAAACCCTATGGAGCACAGTTCTACTCTGATACACATGGGGTCATCATGAGTCAGAATTGACTTGATGGTGACTGGTACTGGTAGGCTCAGTAGAAGCAGGCAGTCGCCTGCTTCCACTGTTGTATCTCTAGTGCCTAGCACAGTGCTCTGGAGCATGTATAGGTACCCGGGCTTCTAACTGGTTCCTTCTGGTTTGAACTCCTGCTGAGAATTTGCGTTTCTAACAAGTTTCCGGGTGATGCTAATGATGCAGGTTAGGGACCAATTGTTTTTTTTTAACTGTACTTTAGATGAAGTTTACAGAACAAATAGTTTCTCATTAAACAATTCGTACACATACTGTTTTATGACATTGGTTAACAACTCCATGACAAGTCAACACTCTCCCTTCTCAACCTTGGGTTCCCTATTACCAGCTTTCCTGTCCCCTCCTGCCTTCTAGTCCTTGTCCCTGGGCTGTTGTACTCCATGAGTCTTGTTTTGTTTTATGGGGCTATCTAATCTTTGGCTGAAGGGTGAACCTCGGGAGTGACTTGATTATTGAGCTAAAAGGGTGTCTGGGGGCCATACCCTTGGGGTTTCTCCAGTCTCTGTCAGGCCAGTAACTCTGGTCTTCTTTTGTGAGTTAGAATTCTGTTCTATATTTTTCTCCAGCTTTGTCCGGGACCCTCTGTTGTGATCCCTGTCAGAGCGGTCAGTGGTGGTAGCCGGGCACCATCTAGTTGTACTGGACTCAGTCTGGTGGAGGCCGTGGTAGTTGTGGTCCATTAGTCCTTTGGACTAATCTTTCCCTTGTATCTTATTTTCTTCATTCTCCCTTGCTCCCAAAGGGGTGAGACCAGTGGAGTATCTTAGTGGCTGCTCACAGGCTTTTAAGACCCCAGATGCTACTCACCAAGGTAGAATGTAGAACATTTTCTTTATAAACTATGTTATGCCAATCGAGCTAGATGTTCCTCGAGATCATGGTAGGGACCAATTCCGAGAACTGCTAGTAGAGCCAAACCCAAACCAAACTCACTGCCATGGAGTTGATTTCAACTTATGGTGACCCTTAGGACAGAGTAGAATGCTCCATAGGGTATCCAAGGCTGTAAATCTTTACAGAAGCAAACTGCCATATTTTTCTCCCATGGAGCAGCTGGTGGGTTCGAACTGCTGACCTTTTGGTTAGCAGCCAAGCACTTTAACCACTGTGCCACCAGGTCTCCTCACTAATAGAGCAGCAGTTCTCAAAATTTATTATACCTGAGAATCATCGGGAGATCTTGATAAAATGTAGATTCCGATTCAGTATATCTGGGGTGGAAATGCCAATTTACAGCAGGGGTTCAAACTGCAACGAACCGGTTTGAAGCCCTGGTAGGCACTCAGGAGATATTTGTGGAATGACTGAATAAGTACTCGTGCTATATTGGAAAGTATTATTAAAAAGCTCCTGGATAGTTGAGGTACAAAAATGTATTTGAAACACACTGTTAAAATCACCTCTAGATGGGGTGTGTGTCCCCCCATGTGGCATATGGAAAATGAGATGGGGCATATGGAAGTAACTAAGTTTATGCCAGAAACAAAGTGTATAAATTGATTGAGGCAATACGTACATCTTGAAATATTCAGCACGCAAACCAATTTGCCCAGAATCCTTGTGTTGCCTTGACTTGTCTATTTCCCTCACGCTCTTTCTGTCTCTCCTGTCCCTTGTTAACAGGAAGGAGGTGGGGTCTGTGCTACTACAAATGCTCTTGGATCACTTATATAGGAGGAAGAAGGCAGGTTACAGAAGCTCCGCTAGCCATATATTACATACCTTAGAGGGGTGGGAATTTCTTAGATTTATGCCCATTTGCACTTTCATTGACTGCAGAAACTTCTTTTGGAGCTGGAAGGAATATTTCTTTTCCAGGAACAATACAAGCAACTGCCAATGCTCTGTGCAGAACATATGATAGCAATAAAGATAAATAAATGTGGGCAACAATACCTCCTCTTCATTCTTCCCCTTCTGTTTCTGCTTCTGGATGCTTTGAACTCTGGGCACTTCTGCTCCCTCTGGCAGCTGTGGTTACCCCATAGAGGAGATGACGAGAAATAACATTGCAGAACCCTGGCGTGCTATTTGAGAGAGAAGAAGCTTCTGGTGGTCTGCATGGAAAATAGGACATCATAGGTGGTATTAGACTTTGCTTGGAGGAAATCGGTGGATGCCTCCATATCCCCCAGAGAAACTGACTGTTTTCTTTTCTGGACATCTCCATAGCCATTCAGTATGCTTGGGGGACAAGCTCACCTGATCAGAATCCTCTGTTTCAACTCTTGCCAATCTGTGCTCCATAGTACACACCATTGTTCTGAGAGCCCTTAATTGGTTTACCCTGAATTTTTCTCTCCACAGTCAAATAAGTTTGAGAAATGTTGAGTGAAATTGATTCCTTTACTGAAGGATTTTTAATATGTTAATGGGCGTTATGAATCTCTAATAGAGGAATACTTTAGTTTTCTTAATTTGACCTTGGAACCTTTTGTAATGGAATACTATGAGCATCTTTGGGGAAATGTTAAGCTGTATGTTAGACTTGTTAAACTTTCGTTTATACCAGAATTCCTTGAGGATTCTGTTCAAAATGCAAATTCATGGGTCCTCCCCCTTACCCATTAAATCAAAATCTCTTAGGGGAAACCTAAGAATCTTCACTTTAGCAAGCACCCCCAATTTGAAACACTGTTGTAAGCCATTCACAACCAGCCTTCTCCAGTCTTACTGCTCACCACTCCCCTGTTTATTGTAACCACCCGAACACTTTTCATTCCCCCGGAAACAATCTATTTCTTACCTCTCTGCTTTTATCCATGTTGTTCTCTCCTTCTGGAATCACGTCTCCCCCATCTTTTGTGTCTAGTGAATTCTCATGCGTTCTTTGAGGTCCAGCTCAGATACCATGTCCTCTGTGAAGGCTTTCACCAATTTGAATGTAAGGTCCTTTAAGTTATGGAATATGTCTTATTTATCTGAATACCCCAGCACAAAGTCCAGTCCTGGTGCCTTATAAGTTGTTGGATGGAGGGGTGTATGGATGGTTGGATAGATGGATGGGAAAAAAATCTTTATAAAGCCCCAACATGTGTATGGAGCTGGTGATCAAAGCAAAATTAAACAAATGTCTCTGAATCTCTTTGTCAACATTCCTGGGTATTTCCTGTATCTTGCCTGCATAAGGTTTACTTTTCTCTGTTTTACTTTTCCAAGGAGAAATATTGAGGATCAGTTAAAATCACCACCATTACTATGAGGGTTCGTCAGCATCCTCCCACCTGTTATTTGCACTTGGATGTTACAGTTGCTGTCTTTTGAAAGAACCTGTCTGTAGGAGCCACTTTCTCTGGTACAATTTGTTTCCTCCTCTTCTTTCTCCCCCGAATCCAGCCTACCTTTCTTCTTTTTGATCTCTGTGCTGTCGTGAGTCATTATCATGGAAATGATCAAGATGTCTGTCAAGATAAAGTAAAAGAATTCTCTGCAAACAGCAGACCCTGGGTGGATAAAAAGTGGGGAGTTCTGCTTAGAATTACAGCTTGAATCCTAGGCATATTTCTGTGTTGCTTCCTGGGAACTGAGCTGGGTTCTAATTTCATCTCCTTCCCACTGTGATCCAAGGAAACAGAACCGGAAAATACTGACAGATGTGAGGGCTTCACCCTTAGTTAGGTATTAAAGCATATAAACAGCTGTTGATCTCTGTCATTGAAACATGGAGGAAAGAAAAGCTTTCATCTGTTCCTAAATTCATATTTAACTAGGAGACTCGTGCTATTTCAGAAGTTGAGTTTTTTCATATGGGAGAATACCAAACAGATGTGGCTGTCTTGTAATCCATAGTCTCCTGTACTCTCGCTTGACCTCCTCTGGTTTCCATTGTTAAAAAGCCAACAGATGTCCCTGATACAGCC